GGGTGCGGGAGACGCGGAGCCGGAGGAGGAGGCGCAGCCGCTGCCCGAGCCGCAGCCGCAGCCGCAGCCGGAGCCCGAGCCGCGGGGCGGGCACGAAGATGCACACGACCCAGAAGGATACGACGTACACCAAGATCTTCGTCGGGGGTCTGCCCTACCACACCACCGACGCCAGCCTGCGCAAGTACTTCGAGGTCTTCGGCGACATCGAGGAGGCGGTGGTCATCACCGACCGGCAGACGGGCAAGTCCCGGGGCTATGGATTTGTAAGTTGTGCGGAAGAGGGGGTGGGGGGGCGACGGGGAGCCCTGCGGGGGCACCGCGGGCGGGGAGGGACTGAGGTCGGAGTTTAGGGGCGGCGGTGGGAGGAACCCAGCGGGCTGGACTGACGGGGCCCCTGGGCTCCCGGCTGAACTGAAAGTTTGAGCGCGGCGGAGCTAGGGGAGGGAGCGCTGGCGCCTGCCCCGCGGGCTTCCGAGGGCATCGGCCGCCGCGCGCTGTCGGGGGACAGGTGGAAGGAGAGAGCTGTAAGAGCTGCTGAATCTGCGAGTGGGGAGCGTTGGGAGGGAGAGGCCACTGTAACACGGACTTGCCTTTCCCTGCTTGGAGGCCGGTTGTTAAGCACGCTGTTGCTTTGTAAAAATGCGTGTCTCCCGGCGGCGTTAGACCAGGACTGGGAGGGGACACCCCGGGAGGTCTGGTACTCTTTCCCTTAAACCACATAGCCCTTTTTTGAATGGCTCAGGTGGGTTCTTTGAAAAGATGAGCCGGCGACTCTTTGCTGAACTGAAAGAGCATAAATCCTCCTGGAGATTTAACGTTCAAACTCAGCTGCCTAAAAGCTGGGAACCCCCGAGTAACACAATAGCTATTGTCGTTGAGGAGTGTTTGCTGGTTCTTGGGAGAACCCGGCAGATAGGAGGCTGGAGTTTCTTTCAAGCAAGCGTGCCTCTTTGGCTGGGGGCTGGGTAGGAACCTGGAATACACCACAGGGAGGTGGGAGGGTGGAGGGGGAAGGAAGATCCAGAGTAGTTCTAGGTCTGAATTCAGGCCTCCAGATTTCTGCTAGGCCCTGCTGAGTTGGGGGGGGTGGGGCTTGGGGGTCAGGTGGTGGACAGGACTTGCATGCTTTTGTCTTTTTTTTTTCTTATTTATTTATATGTACAGAGGATCAAGGAGTAAGATCAAAAGAAAGAACAAGTTTAAGAACCCCCTCAGTTTTATCAGGAATGATTTCTCCAGGGCCATTCTTGGTTTCCTTCAGTGCTTCCTTTAGAGCTTTGTATGCATGTCTGTGTGTGTCTGTTGCTAAGGTCACCATGGCTGACCGGGCTGCTGCAGAAAGGGCCTGCAAGGACCCCAACCCCATCATTGATGGCAGGAAGGCAAACGTGAACCTGGCATACTTGGGAGCAAAACCAAGGATCATGCAACCAGGTAAGAATGTCCCTCCCTACCTCCCTGCCACTAGAGACCCCTCCTTGTGCCCGAGAATCTGTAGATGTGTTGAGTACAGTTGAGTCATGGATGGCCTTTCTCCCCAGGCATTAAAGATAAATGAGCAGTGCAAACACTCCTTTCAGGACTTGAAATGTACCTGTGGGCTAAAATAGATCTGTGGGGTCTGAAGAGTTTATATAACACCCAGCCTTGAGCCTAATTCCGTTTCTGTTGTGATATGAGTTATGTCTGCTCCTGCTTTCCCAGGTTTTCCACTACTTATAGATAATTCGCATGTGGATTGTGGGCCAAATATGTGACCGCCAGCTAGTGAATCTTCTATACCTAGTGTTGTTTGTCTTTTTACCACCAGTTGTTCTGTGCTCAGGGGCAGACAGCCTGACTTGAACACTCACTCAAGAGAAGCATAGGGGTGGGGTGTTGTCCGGATGGTAAATGTTTACCATTTATTCTAAATCATAGAGTATGAATAATGAAAGGAAATAGAAAGATTTCACATAACCCAGGACTTTCATGTTACACATGAAGAAACTGACATTTAGAAACTGGAGATGATTGACTCTGAAGTCATGTACCTCTTAGTAGCCAAAAAGGAGCAGGATTTTTTTGTCTCTGTGAAAATAAGAACTTTTAGATGATTGAAAATGCTGCCCTTTGTATGAACACAAATAATTGAGCACTAACTGTTGAGCAAATGTAATATTTTTTCTTGGGTAAGCAACTTTTTTTTTTTAATTATCATCTATTCATACGTCTTTCCATTTGAAAATTTGGAAAGAGACTGCCACTTCAATCCAAATGAATTTACTAGGAATCTATTAGGTTGCCAAGAAGGCGAGCTGATGTACCAGTATCCAGAAGCATTAAACATATGCATTGATCTACACATTTTAGGTGTGTACTCTCCAGGAAAGAAGGAAAGGGGAGTGTGTTTCTGTGAATTATTAATACTAGGATCTGTAACATCCATAAGCTTCCAAACCATTCCAGAATGTCCCAAATTACAAAGACTTTTTAAAGCTCATGATTTGAAATCATCTGAGTATTTGTGACCTGTAATTTCATTATCAAGTCCTGTTGTTACTGGTGACATTCCATGAGAATTGTTCCTTGGTCAAATTTTCTACAGACTTAACTCTATGTCCGTTAAACTATGCAGGTGATTTCTAGCTTCCACTTGCAGTCTATTCATATTTTTATTTTGAATCAACAGTATCATTCCTAAAAATGACTGCAAATACTTTTTCTCTAAAAGAATGAAAAAATGGTTATCTTTTCTAAATCCGTCTTGTGAAAGCACATTAGTCAGGAGGAGTAAGTGCCTAATGATGTATCAATGGAGACTGTGGTGTGTTTTATTGTTAGGTTTTGCCTTTGGCGTTCAGCAACTTCATCCAGCCCTAATACAAAGACCTTTCGGGTAAGTCAGTTAATCCCCTAAGTTGCCATATGACTGTCACTTGTTAACCTGCTTCTGTAATATAAGACAAGTTCATGTCACAGAATGTTCCTGGTTATAGATATCTACATATGTTTGTGTACGTTTAATGCTGATACTATAAATATTTTTAGATGAGTCAAGTTATCTGACCAAGTATGCAGCCTCCAAAGCAGACAAATTTTTGAGCTTATGATTTACAAAACAAAACAAAACAAAAATACCAGGTATGACTTGTGTACCAGACAATTATGTCCCAACACCATGCCAACTGTTCAACTTGACTCAATTTTATTTATCTCTTTCTAACCTGACAGGGCTCGTATACAGTTAAGCTAACTGATGAGAAGGATACGATGATAAGAGGTGGAATAGTTCTGTTTGGAATTAAACTCTGTACCCAGTAGACTCAGACACATGGCTCAGATGGTGATTAACGATGCATGGATGTTGGTGTTGTTGATTTTATTTTTCACAATAGTCAATAGACCTCCGTGTGCTTTATTTTATTTATTACAGTCATGAAGTGGTGTTGATAGCTAAACTGTGTGCTTTTTACTTAATTGAAAAGAGCTGTAGTGAAAGTGTTTTCTTCTCCTCGGGGAAGGGGCTCTTTGTGTTTTGGTGGTGGTGTTGAGGAGTGTTGATTTTTGACTTTGCCATGGGAAGCAAAGGGCCTTTTTATTTTCCTTGCTTTTAAGCTCTAGCCTGTGACTTCCATTTAACCATATTTTTTTTGTAGTGAGTGCTAAATTGTGTGATTTCCCTCTGTGAGAATACAGATTCATTCCTTGCATGTCCTAAGTTTCTGTTTTTCTGGGGAGTTTTCTGGGAACGGGGTTCTTTCTTTTGCAATGTCTCCACTTTTAGGTCTTCTAATGTAAAGGTTCAACAACTCTTATCAGATTTCGTTAACACAGTCAGATGGTTGCATAGTGTAGCATTAACTCTCACTTTTCAGACCTAATTCAGGTGAACAACCTGCTCTTTTTTTAGTTTTCTCTGGGTCCTGTCCTTACCAGCTCTCTTTATCTGAGTTTCCCTCCCATTCAATGGGAGATCCCTCCCGCCTAAACTTAATTTGAACACGTAGAGTCTGTTATGTATTCTACAACATTGGTCAACAAGGTTCTAACTCTGATGCCAAGGATTTAAACCTCTTTTTGAAATATCTAACTGTTCGAGAAGTGCTTTTACATCATCAGGGGTAGTTTCTTCTCTAGCTAAACATCTAAATATCTACATGTGGAAGCTGACAGGTTGGAATCTGTTTGCATAGACAGAAATCTACCTATGTCTCCCAGAAAAGATCCCAAAAAGCCATCATTTGACTTTTTGTACTTTCCATGAATACCTTCTTACAACGCTCCCTTTCACAGATAGGTCTCTCATTCTTATTACCAGCTCTTCCTTTGTTTTAACCATAGGATTGCCTTTGTCCAGTGTGATTAGAAAGGGCTTCATATGCCCACATCCCTCCACCTAAACCATAGTGGATACTAACAACAAAGGGAGCATTGATGGGCCAAGCTAGTTCTGTGCTTCCTGCCATGGGCTAGACTATGTTTACAGTGAGATCAAATACAAGATTATACATCTTAAGAAGTGACCATGATCTTGTCACAATCTTACACTAATAATCTTAAAAAAAACAACAACAAAAAACTGTATAACATATCAACAGGTATTTCCAGGTGTTTTATCCACGGGGCTATGGGGATGATATAAAATGAGGAGATTACACTCTGGTGTATCGTTGGGTCGTTGGGTATGTCCTGGACAGGTAGATGCCGAACAGGATGGGGTGAGCTGAGCAGAGACCTAGGAGAAGAAAAGATTTTGTGCGTGGAGAAACTAGCCTCTGTGGAAGGTCTTGGGAGCTAGATAGAGAAATCCAGACAGGTTGTGAGAGTCCTTATAGATCCTTGAAATCATAAGGAAAATAAAAAGCAGAATAAAATGTATGACATGGCAACTTAAAATCAAGTATATTTTGATAGTAACCTTTTGTTTTTCATCCCTATTAGCTGTCTTTGTAAAGGATTGTTATTATTACTGTTTGCATAAATTGTTTGAACTCAAGATTCTTATTCAAAATAGATAGCATTCCAGATGGGTCAAGTAAGCCTTCTCTCTTTTTTTTTTTTTTTTTTTTTTTTAAGGGGTTCTCAACACTGCTGTCATTCCCAGAGTCTGTACCTAACAAATCACACCTGGTCATCCTAAATTCTATTTGAATGCCACATGTTCTTATTTTCGGCCTGGAAAGAAGCTTGAGAATTTTTTTAATTTCACTTAACTTGTTTGGAATTCTAGTAATGGAACTATTTTTGTATGGTGCCTAAGTGGCCCCCAGATTACTCTGTGCTTTTAAAAGGAATTTTTGACAAAACACAGTGGCTAGGTAGATAGAAACTTGTGGATTAGCTGACCAATATCTTACAAATATTTTACATTTGAAGCGCTGAGTTTATTTTAGTTAACACTGGACTAGATATTATGCTAGCTACTAAGGGCACTGAACGCCTGTAGCTGAGAAAGGATTGATATAAATTATATAATTTAATTTTCACAACAATTATTTGGTGTCAGTGTCCTTTTCGAGGGTGAAAAAAAAAAACCTGAAACACAGAGGTCAACTAATTTCCCACAGGACAGTAAGTAAAAGTCTGATTCTAGGTTTTTAGAAACATGATTAACCTGACCTATGTTCTTGCCTTGTATCAAGTTGTAGTCAAAAGCACAACTCCATTCTCTTTTCCAGTGTAGTGAGAAAACTAGATTAGAAGCACCCAGAAGGACTGTCCATGTGACTTCAGATAAGGAGGAGAGAGATCAGGTTAGTGACATCCAGGAAGACTTCATGAAGGAGACAGAAGTTGACCTAGATTTTAAAGGATGACGGCGGCTAGGGAACTCTTGTATTCAGCACCTACTGTATCCATCATTGTAGGCTCTTCGTGTAGATTGTTTTATTTAATTCACAGCAACTGGAAATACAGGTTCATTCCCCATATGAGCAATATGACACTAACAGGGGACGCTCCATCCTCAATGCTCTACAGGTGAGGGGATGTGAAATTTGGATTTCAACAGGTCGTGGTGAAGATTGGCATGAGCAGAGATGAGGATCTAGAAGTGTGTGGCATGTCCGGGAAATATTAAGGAGGCCAGCTGACATGGTTCAAGGGAGGGTGGGAAGAAATACTGGAAAACGCACCTTGGAGTCAGAAGCTGAAGCTGCAGTTCAAGAAATTTGGTTAGTTTGGTCTGATGTTCAGGACTGTAGGTTACTTTGAGCAAGTAAATGAGATGAAGACAGACTGATGTGACAGATTGGAAAACAAACCTGTTAGGATGTTGCTTCCAAAGTCACAGAGAACAGAGGGACCTAAAGAGGCAGGAAGAAAGGGAAAGGGGAACTTTTCTCTGAAAATTGCCTGGAGTATCAGCTTTGCTCTGTGCTTTTGTAACTGCTTGAACTGTACAGTGTATGATTAATTGAGGGCCAAGACATTGGTAGATAACTCGCGGGGAGGAGATTTCTAAATCACTACACTACTCAAAGAGCTCCTAATACAGAAATTGCTTCAGAAATGCCACCCCACACTTCGTCAGATGCTGCCATCTTCCTGAGCTGAGCTATTTTAGGCCTTCCTGGCCTTCTGGCTTCTTCTTTCCCCTGAGTCTGAAAGGACTCTAGTTTTTCATTTGCCTCCCAGACATCTTCCCAACCCGCCCTTTTCAGATCCCATGTGGGATTCTGATAATTCCAGGGAACTTTACATCTCATGGGGGAGTCCCAGGGGGTGGGGGTGGGGGGGCCAAACTATAAAGCCATGGAGACAGAGACCAGAGTCCTATAAACAGCTGTCCTTAACATTTAATGCATCCCTCTCTCTCTCTCTCTCTCTCTCTCTCTCTCTCTTACACACACACTCTTGTTGTTCCTATGTATTTTTAGTTAACAGCTTTATCCAAAGATACAAACTTAGCATTGTCGTTCTTGGAACTTTGGGAGTACGGGGGTTAACGTTTCAGTATCAGTAAGATTCAAACTGGCTGGCCTTTGCAGCTGATAAATGTCTTACTTTGGCCTTATAAAGACATTTTACCCGCTGGAAACCCTTGTCGCATGACAGGATCAAAAATAGCCCGCTGCAGCCCCTGCTGTCCATCACCCCATGTAAACTGGCACGAGCCAGGCCTCTCTTAGCTGCGTCTGCACATTGTGGCCACGGCGCCCTCCAGGGCCAGCGTTTCATAAAGCCACACCTGTTGCTGTGAAAGAACAGTCTCCTGACCTGCAGAGAAGTTTTGAGTGTGTGCATGACCGTGCGTCTGGTTTCTGACAAGCAATTAAGGACATCTCGAAGTGTCCTCAGAAACACTTGATGATGTCGTTTCTCTGGGAAATATATACAAGTCTAGTGAAATTGAGTGTATTTTTATCATTGGGGTCAAAGGTTACTCCTCTCTGTGATAAATTCATTTTTTCCATAGATGTTCGATAATGAGTGCTTTCAGTGAAACTCTGAAAAGGCAAAGCAAAAGCTGGATTTAAAAGAGCTCAATGGGAAGTTTGCTGTTTGGAGGGTTTTTTAAATTTGAAGATTGTTATTTGTGCTTGTATTTCTTATAAGCTGCCTTTGCCAACAACCAGATGGCATCAGTAGTGTGCTATTTTTAGACTATCGAGGGTTTTGATGGAGATTATTTTAAAGACAGATGAAATCAGATATTCATGTAGTGTCTTAAATGGACAGTAGTAAATCACAAGAGTGACAACTGAGATTTGTGTTTTTTTAAAAAAAAATCTCTTGATTATTTTTCTCACAAAATTAACTTTTAAGTAAGTTCAATGGAGACAGACTCCAGTCTGTCTCCTATGGGATCTCTCAATGCGTCATTTTAGAAGGTACTGGGTTTTGTTTCACATTCGTGAACTTTTGCAAGATAATTATCATAACAGAATTGATCTGTATAAAATATTTCCTAATGGGACAGCTTTAAAAAGATTTGCTAAGTCTGTTGTGTTGATTTGGATAATAAAACAAGAGCTAGTAGATGCTCAAAAAGAATGTTTCCTTACTCGTATGATGATGTCGACTTTTTAAGTTTATATTAACTGTAGAAATATTCAGTTGTATTTCCCTATCTCTACCTGTTCCCTCAACCTCATCATTTCCCCAAAACCCCTTCTGTCTGTCTTGCATAGAGATAAACAAGCTGGCTGACCTTCGGTTGCCTGATAGTGAAACAGGTTTGATTGATCCTTGTGTCCTTATGATTTTATGGAGAAAAAGAAAGAAAGAAAGACCAATAGCGTGTTGCACACCTCTTTGGGAATCACTGCCATGAATGTTAATAGCATTTCTATAGCTTCCCACAACAGCCTCTTGTGATAGAGCTGCACTACATTCTGTTTGAGAAGTGTGATTCTGCTGTGTTTACCACACTTGTGAACTTTTAAACTCCTTTTTTATTTTGTCGCCTGCTTCTTTTCATGATGATTTTTAATAAGGGTGACTGAGGTTGCAGAGAGATTAATGTGTGCTGAGTCTGCATAGCAATTTCAAGTAGGGTTGCCATGATAATGGACACGTGGATTTTGTGGAAATTTATGAGCCTTTTGACAAAGTTGGGCCATCACAGAATTGAGTGACCACGGATGACCGTTTGAGTCCTCGCCTCAGAGCTAAGAACGTGCTAAATGCTAAAGAGTTCTGTCTTAGCAACTCACAGCAAAATTTGCCCAAGTCTTCAATCAGCACTGACGAGAAGTGTCTTACAAGCGCAGCTCTCCTCAACCTTCACTGCTTTTCCAAACTTTTGCTCAGTGACCTCCACAGGGAGGGGAGCGTATATCCGTGGCTGAATTCCTTTGGGAGGGGACAATCCACGAATTTGGCTATCACCCACCACTGGGGAGTCGATATCGTGGCAACCCTATGCTCATAATAACCACTAAATTTGAGTTTGTCTTAGTTCTGAACAAGCCATGCACAATCCGGACAGGAGGCGCGCGGCCTGACTTTGTTTTCCGTTTCTCTACAGGATCCCTGCCCACTATGTCTATCCGCAGGCTTTCGTGCAGCCTGGAGTGGTCATTCCCCACGTGCAGCCCACTGCAGCCGCGGCCTCCACCACCCCTTACATTGATTACACTGGAGCTGCTTACGCTCAATACTCCGCGGCCGCCGCCGCCGCCGCTGCAGCCGCTGCCTATGACCAGTACCCGTACGCGGCCTCGCCAGCTGCTGCCGGCTACGTCACCGCCGGGGGCTACGGCTACGCCGTCCAGCAGCCAATCACCGCGGCAGCACCTGGGACAGCTGCGGCCGCCGCCGCCGCAGCTGCGGCCGCCGCCGCCTTCGGCCAGTATCAGCCCCAGCAGCTGCAGACAGACCGAATGCAATAGACCAGCCGTGTGATCAAAAGTTGAATTGTTTTCTCTTGGCCTCCCAATTTTCCAATTTTTAGTAGCTAAATCTGAGCGTTAACATTGACTTAACAGCTTTAAAAAAAAAAAAGTTATGCTATTGTGAAGCAGATTCTTATTTTTTTTAGACTCCGATAGTGTTCTGGATGAGAAAGGGGAGAGAATGAGAGGAGTGGGCGCAGTTTTGGAAATCGATCCCAAAGAGCCTGAGTTAGAGGAGAGGCCGCCAGAAAAGGATGGCAGGAGTAAACAGCGGAACTTCACTTTTATAACGGAATTTTTATTTTTGCTCTTTTTATAGTATCAGGGAAGCAAACTGCCTTTTACAAGTTAGAAAATGCTATTTGAATCCAGATGAACCAGGGAATACAGAGTGAGCAATATGTAGCTTGAATTACATTGCAACGCAGATTTCAAAAAAGATGGTGTAAGCACTGATTGTCATTTCTAGCAGTCGCTATGGCCTACCGAACTTTTGCAAGTAACAAGGTCCTGTTCTTACAACTCTCAAAAACGGGCATCGAACAATCAATCCGGGAGCGTGGCAGTGGGGACAATGGTGGACAAGCACCAAAGTTATTTTCTCATCTATCCTGTGGATGAGCGGGGCTGTGGAGCAAGTGATGTAGAATTGATGGGTGAACAGCTGTACAGACAATCAATAACACACAGTTCTGGAAAGAACACATCACTTGTGCTTGTTTGATGAGCTTGTCACATTCTAATCCCTCTCCCCATCCTGTTTCAATTTTGGGAAACTTGTATCTGCTGGTGTCAGCAATTCTGATTCTGAAATAGGATCAGGCTTTTACTACAACAGCCTTCTCTTTCTATTTATTGTGTCGACTCGTGGCTTATGAATAAAGGCAGGCAAAGTTTGCAGATTCTAAACCCTTAAGGACTGTCTTAAGGACGTTTATTTTTTTCCCTTTTTAAATAATTTTACACTTTTTAGTATGTATTTCAGAGTCATATTTAAAACTATTTATTAGTGACATGAGACAACAAGGTTAGTGAGATTACAATTCTTCAAAGGTTAATGATAATGTGGTTTATACTGTGCCTTAATAGTAATGCTATTTAAGATATTTATATTTAAGTTTTACTATGCTGCACTCTAAAGAAAGGAACTTTAGATGTGACACTGTAAAATTATGTATTCATCTCATGGCATAAATTATTTAGTAGGTCTAGATGTAGCATATTAAATATTAACCTATTCAACTAAAGATGTTGACTTGGATTTATTTAAATTCATATGTGCACTGTATAAGAGTACTCTTACATTAACACTTTTTAGTTTACTTTAGTTTTTAGTTTTTTAAAACAGAATATATAGCTAGTTTCATGCTTCCTTCTCTGATTTTTGCTTGTTAGATCTCATTTATTGGTACTTCATTAGTTGAACACTATTCTTGTGTAGTTTATGTAGTTTTTAAATGCTGCTTTACATTTTTCTTCTGAAACTGCAATACTTGCAATTTTTATTCTTAAACTAAATTGAATACTATTTTACACTGTATTGGATTTTTATACTTGAACAATTTCATACAAGGGAAGACAGGTTAGCATTTTTATGGACTTTTTCCATTATCACTGGATTTACTTTAAGTGTTCCCATACTAGACAGTGTTATGTAATGTAGACATGACTCTCCTGTGCAAATTATTTATTCATTGTGTATATTGCTTTATAACATTTCAGATCTTCTAATCTATTCACTTGTATTAAATATAATTTTTAAAAACTCCTGTGGCATTGATTGTTTCTAATGGTGTAAAAGTAGAATGATTTTTCCTTTTGACTAGAATAAATAGCCAGGATTTACATGTAATATTTTCAAAGGAGCAGAATCTTTCTGCACACCCTGTTTTTATGCCTTTTTAGTAGAGTTAGAGAAAATGAATACTTGCCTCGTTTTTATTTTAGCAGATTAGATTATCTCCAACAGTGACCCCTAACAGACTTATTCATGTCACCGGAAATGGACTAACTGAAAGGTAACTCAAGGAGAGGCCCCTCAGTCAGAAGCTGGTGTAGTTCTGTGTTCCTGGATCCCAGTAAACAGATTCGGCACTGGAATGCAGTGAACACCTTCTGGTAAAAGGAGCAAGTAGCTTTAACAGTGACATTTTTGTTGATTTCTCATCTTTAATATCAGTACAATAATACTGCATTCTATGGTTATTTAAGTCTTAGGTCAGGTCTATCAACTGTGTGACACAGCTACATATCCAATAAGCACCCAAGGAGGGTAATAGCAGTTGTATTGCCCAGTAGTGAAAGCAAACCAAAGAGGATATTACCTTTAGGGGTATTTACTTTTTTTAGTTTCTGCCCAGAAACAAGAGGTTTTCTCTCTCTCTCTTTTTTTTTTAAGGTTTATTTATTTATGCGTACAGAACTGGAGTACAGGCCAGAGGTGCAGGGGTGGTGAGAGGATTCACCAGAGACAGAGTAGGGAGCAGAACATTCCGACTGACTAAGTACACTGCTGAGGGGAGCAGTGGGTGGGTCAGGAGAGGTCTGTCATGCCATGTGGGTCACCTCCGGGGCCTGGGATTGAACTCATGGCTTTAGCTTCTTAGTGCTGTGCTTTAGCAGGCTGTGCCACTAGGGAGGGCCTGGCTTTTTCTCTTAAACTGTGTGAACATCAGATGAGTAACTATCACGTTGTTCATTCTAAAGTGTATATGTTATGATAATTATAACATGTATTTTTTGGTTATTGTTGGTCTCTTGGTCTTTATATTTCCCAAATCCATGCTAGGTCTCTTAGGGAAACCATTTGTCTTCAAAAGTGGTAAGTCTCAGAGCATTGTGATAGCAGTCTGTCCTGCTTTTTCTTTCATCCTGACTATCACCCTACTTAGAGCCATCGTATCTCAAACTTTTAATTGTCTTTAATTTTCCAAAGAAAAATACCCCTAGCTATCCCTGGAGATGGATGTCCATGTACCCTTACTATCTTGAATCCACAAAATAATTTCTAAGTTATTAAATTCAGTCAATGCATTAAACTGTTAATCCAAGAACCATTTTACATTTACTTTTGCAGATTTATGGAAGGTCATCCTCATCCTCAATAAGCAATCTATTGATTGCTGAATTTTAACATGAAACATCATTTGACTTAGCAATTAAAAATAGCTCAGACAGTTCTGGTAAAAGCTTGTCAAAAATAGCCATCCTAAGGAAAACCAAAAGTCCACCTCTCCCTGGTTATGCCTCTTCTGGGGTATTTCCTGATCTATACCAATGTCAATATTAGGAGTTATACAGAAAGCATGCGAAATTTTTTATGAAGATTTTTTTTTATTTATGCATACAAAAATGGGTATAGGGTGCCCTCCCACGTGGTGCAACGGGTTAGGATGCAGCACTGCAAGCTAACAGCAGCTGCTTCAATGCGAGTTTCATCTCCGATCCCAGAAGTGACCCACATGGCTTGACAGACCTCTACTGACCCACCCGCTGCTCCCCTCAGCAGTGTACTTCACCAGTCGGTCTGTTCTGTTCCCCCACTCTGTCTCTGGTGGGTGCTTTCACCACCCCTTACTGTACCTTTTGTCTGTACCCCAGTTCCAGGCAGTTCTACTGAAATACACTGCTGAGGGAAGCAGAGGGTGAGATAGGAGAGGTCTGCTGTGCCATGTGAGTCACCTTCCTGGCCGGGGATGGAATTCATGCCACAGTGACTGACAGCAACTTGATAGCAAGCACTGAGACTTTAACCCCTGTGCCATGGGGAAGGCCCTAACACACGATTTTTATTTTGTAATGCTAAACCATACATTTCTAAAAATAAAAAGAAATGTTTAATGTCTAATAGTCATTACCTGACATCTACAGTGATTTGGCAGGCCAGTTGTTGAGTTAGAGAAAGCAATGAATCTGAATACCAAAGACAAAATGAGTCCTAGCTTGCTTGCCAGGAGGGTGGTAATAGGTGAGTTGATATTACTCAACATAGTTGCTCTATGTAGCCCTCAGGTACTGATTAAATGAACTCACTGATATGAGAGAATTTAGAAAGTCTAACATGTTAAGCAAATGAAATTATGTGAAGGGAAGATATAGTCCATTGTTGAAGTTGATCTCAAATATCTTAAATAGCCCTTTCAAAAGAGGACAGAATTGTATCTCATACTCTTTCTTTCTTCTGTCCCAACCAAGTAATAGCTAAATTTTCTGTACAATAAGAACAGCACAAAAATAACAGCAAAAGGTGGGGATTGCCCAAATACAGCAAAGAAAGAAGGGGAGAGGAGAAGATTATGGAATACATTTCTCTCACAGGGAAACTATATATAGCTCCTTCCTCACTCCTGTCAAATATTGTTCTTCTTAATTCCCTCTGAGGCTCGAAAGCATTCATTAAGATGACAGCCTGCATTTCAGAGGGGCAAAGGTGAAGAGGAACCAAAAAAATAAATAGATGTACTTCGCATGCTTACTTTTTGTCCTCTCGTCTCCTTCAAGAGTTCCGAGCTGTTTCCATGGAAATCCTAACTTTGTTTTGCTGAAGCACTTAGTACAGAAGTTCAATTCTGATATTTGTTCTGAGCTGAATTTTAGCAGTTCAATAGTGACTTTACCTATGTCATTTAAGTTCCAGGTTTTGAAATCCCAGTTGTAAAATAAGATGAGAAAAAGAAACACACAAAATAATCAGAGAAAAAGAATCACTTTAGAAAGTTTAGGCCTGAAAAATGATATAGAGTTATCAGTTTGAGAACAGAAATTTGTTCTGCCTTATTGCAGAGTATTTGGACTTTTTTTTTTTTTCAGCAGAAGTTAGTTGTTTCTTAATATTGAGGGAACAGCTTGCAGCAGGTGTGCGGCTGCTCACCTCAGTAGCTCTACATTTGACACCACACTCTCCACCAGATACCTAGTCATGACCCACCAGCAACCGATGGGTCCCCCTACCAGTTCTGTGCCACATTCTTCCCCTCTGGTGAAAAAGGTAGTCATTCTCAACAACTTCTTCAGAAGAATTCTTTACATTCCCTTCTTGTCACTTGTGTTCTGGAAAGAAGATGAATGCCTTTGTTTATTTAAATGCAATACAGCGTGTGAACCTGTTGATAAGTGAGTCTAAGAATGACATTGTTTTCCATTCTGCCGTTGTTAGAGGTAATTGCAGTTACATTAAACCAGGGTTAATGCCAATTGTTATTTCTTTTCATTTAGTCACTCATAAGTCACTTTACACTTAGAACACTTATAATGTGTTCATAAAAGAGCAAATATCTGGAACTGATTTCCAAATTGAGTTTTTTGTTGTTGTTGTTGTTGTTGTTTTTAAAGATTTATTTATGCATACAGAATGGGGTATAGGCCAGAGGTGGGGGGGGGTGAGAAGATTCATCAGAGACAGAGTGGGGAGCAGAACAGGCAGACTGACAAAGTACTCTGCTGAGGGGAGCAGCTGGCAGGTCAGGAGAGGTCTGCCCTGCCATGTGGGTCACCTCTGGGGCGGGCATTGAACTCATGCTGAAGTGGCTATAGCTTCTTAATACTGCACCACCAGGGAGGGCCCCAAACTGAGTTTTAAACACAAACATAGCTTTGTCAAGGAGAAAATTTTATTTTAGCTCTATTTTAAACCCTGTTCACTTGACAGTTCCAACCAGGTTTGAACTTGTTGGACTGTCTATGAAGGTAAGCATCATCATTCTGCATTCACTTATGCACATTTTGAAATGGGGGGGGGGAATGTGAGAAGGACATAGAAGAAAATAATGAAGATGGGGCACTCAGGTCAAAAAAAAATCTAAAAAGTAGGTGAAGAGGATGAGTTGTAGGAGTATAAATCAAGTGGACTGGATCTCTGGAGTCCAGGGTCATCACTAAGGGGAACAAGTGAGCAAAGGGTGAGGTGGTCTGCTGGGTCGCAAGAGACCTACCTGGAGGAAGATGGACACTTATGTAATGTCAGTAATTCGGGCCCTCCCTGCAGCCACTGCAGCACAAGTTCAATACCTGGCCAGTGAGGTGACCCACATGGCACGGCAGACCTCTCTCATCAAAATTGCTGCTCCCCTCACCAGTGTTTCAGCCAATCTGCCCATTCTACTCCCACTCTGTTTCTGGTGAGTCCTCTCACCACCCCCCACCCCGCACCTCTGGCCTGCACCCCAGTTCTTGTATGCATAAATATATCTTTTTTAAAAAAACGTCAATAATTAAATACATGGCTTTCCTCTGTTTTCTGGTTATAGAAAAGACACTTAGGGTGATACTTCATTTTGGGGCTTGCAAAGATTAGATACTTTAAAAAATGGAGTATATTCTTTGTAACTGAAAACTTTTCGGAAGCAATCATGGTGCCTTTGGTAAGATTAGATAAAGGCTTTCGGGGATTTTGGGCCTCCAGAGAGAGGAAACTCTGGCATTCGTTTATCTATCATCACTTCCCATTTAGGTAGACAAGACAACCTGAAAGGTGGGGGGTGAGGGTGGGGGGGGTGGATGGGGGAGAATGTTAATATTTACCTTGTGGTTCAGTATGCTTTTGTTCAATACATTTGCATATGCATGGTCTTGTTGTTTCTCTCTTGGCTCTCTCAACTTGGCTGATGGGCCTTTGGAGAAGTAATGGAGACTTATGAAGGGATGCAAAGGGAAATTCCTACACTGAGGCTTATATTCATGCCTCTGTAACAACGCAAGTTAGGTGATAGTCACCCCCTTTTACAGACCAAAATAGCTTGTAGAGGCAGTAGGCTGCCCAAAGTCACACTGTCTTTCTGCAGGGACAGAGCATGATTTTCAAAGTGGGTAGCCTAAAATCAAGTCCC